CGTTTCAAAATCTTCCCACTCTGAAGGCTTAATAAAAAAAAGTTTGTTTACAGACCCCCAAAACGCCGGCTTCGTATGGATGAGAGGCTGGTTTGGTGAAAAATTTGTGTGTTTAGGCCAGGGTTTGGCTTCGTGTGGACGGGGCCTTAATGGGAGAGAGAAACAAAGACCAGGCTAATTAGCAGATTGGGAGCAGGTGTGAACAGAGGCAAGAAGAGAGCTATGGAAAAGGAGACTGACACAAGAGGACAAACAAGAGATATCTAAGAACTAAAATATACTAAAAAATAACTAGACCACAAGAATGAAAAATAAGACCAATGTAACTGAGAGATAAAACTTTAACAAAACCAAAACCATGACAGAATGTCCAAATGAATGGAAGTTGTTCTATAACCCTGCAATGAAACATTCAGTCCGAAATAACTAAAAGTGTTAAATCAACGCTTTGAAAAAGTTATTCTTACAAATATCATTTGGGAATCCAAAAATGATCTATGTACTGTTGTCATAGGGAAAACTTATAGTTAGGCTAAACTAATATTATTAAAGGACCTACCTTATGTTTTGCAGTATACAGCTTATTTGTAATCATAACATAAGATCAGGAGTATCGGCTTCCATGATGCAGCCCTGGGTTTCCTGTTTTCATTCTGGGTCCTATAAAATCAGCTCTCTGACTAAAGATACTTTATACACTGAGTGGTTGCATTTTTATTTAGTTCTCTGCTGCCTCTTCATCATGACTCTTAGAAGCATCATGGTTTTCATCATCCCATTTTTCATCATAGTTGGGGTACTGAGCCCAGCTGACTCTGCTGGTAAGTTTACACCATCAGATTTAAATGTACAATTCAGACTGAAATACAGACCACATGCTTTGTGTGTGACCTTTTGATCTGTAGGTATTTGCTCCAGGCAACACTGCTGTAAAAGATATGATGATATGGTGGTCAATATCCGTCACATACGAGCCTACAAGGAGCAAAGTAAACAGGGAGACTGCATCAAAGCCATCATGTAAGAATCTACTCCATTTACCCTTACACTGTGTGACTGTATTCATTTTCTGATAAATATAGCTTTAGATGACATGACATGACTACCATCAATGAAAACCATGGTTTCATTCTAAAATAAAAACAAATAAATAAATAAATAAACAACTAGTAAATAACAAATAGTTTTAGGAAATTCAGCTTCTAGTCTGTTCCCTTAAATTCCTTTTTTTAATTAGTTACTGTCACTAATCTATTGTTCATAACTTTGTTTATAAAATTGTTATTGTTAAGGTAATGGATTATGCATGTATAATTAAATCAGCAGTGTCTCATGTTTGTCTTGAAATGTGTCTATCATAGTTTCTACACCACCAGTAACCACGAAGTCTGTGCAAATCCAGAGGATGAGTGGGTGAAGGACACTCTTAAAAGGCTGAAGTAAAATAATTCTTTTTTGTTTGTAGCATCCTGTATCAGTTTAGCTCCAGAGTACCTAAATGCGCTTGCATAATTGGTTTAATCTTAGGAAAACTGTTGCAAATGATAAATATTTATTTTTGTTTTGTTTTTTGTTTTTCTTTTTACCTCAAAACAGAAAGCCATAGGAAAAGCAGGAAAAAAACTGAGAAAACCTGAAAACTTTTCCACGCATGGAGGAAGAGGATCTTTCAACATGACAAAGTAAACATTTGCAGCAATGGAATTAAGATATTTTAATCTTCTGTAATCAAATCTTTGAGAATAATCTCTCATTTAAAGGCATTGGTGAATTTTTGTTATAATGAAGTAAAACATAAACAATATTTTTTTCATCTACTCAATTCACCAAGTGGAATGAATTATACAAATTAATTAAACACAGACCAATGTTTAAACTCACTGACTACTTTTCATTATTATCTATTTCTGTTCTGAGGTTAATAAAATATTTTTAAAAATAAAATAAGACAAATACTAAAAAACATGCTGGTCTTCAAAAAACTGTGTTAAAATGTTTACGAAAAGCTTATCATGGCAAAAGATTTTTTTCGAAGTGTATTGTTCATTCTGAGGATGAGCCTGATCCTAACTGTTTAATTTTACTTTATTAAATATGGCTGTATTGCTTTGTACTTCTATAGGCTTTGTCATGTTGACCTATTGTCCCATTTTAGTTTTTTCATACTGTACCTTGGGACCTATTACATAATGCATGTCTTTTAAACTTTTTTAAAATGTATTTTAATGCTTGCAATAAATCATTGATTAACTTGCTAAATATATGAATCATATATCAAGCACATTAAATATGTTTTTAAGGGGTTTTATGCTGTTGTGTGCTTTTATTAAAAAATGTTTCAAAGATGCATTGTTTTATAGAAGCAATTGTATTGCCTTATATAGTCCTATTTTTTGCCCTTATGCTCACTTGGCAACACAGACAATGCAGCATGTAGACAGGGTGTCTACTGTACATGCTGCATTGTCTGTGTGCTCTATTTCATTCCCCATTGTATCCAACTGTGACAATTTACTTTCGTAAGTTTTACTGATTCATGTGATGTCGTACTACTCCATTAGTCTTTCCGAATCATATATACTTAATATATTTACAGCTTAAAAAGTGTTATGTTTATTATTTCTATCTCTAATATGTATATATATATATATATATATATATATATATATATATATATATATATATATATATATATATATTACGTGCCTCCTATTTGATAATTACTGCATGG